ATTTAAAATAATCATATTTCTTACCTAATATATTGATTTATATTTTCAATAGTTTAATAACTTTACCTTATTGATCGAAGGCTATTGATCCAATGTTTGGCCTGACTATAATGATAATTTTCGAATTATCTATTTCTTGTTTTAATATTAAAATATTAAATGATTAATCAACATCTAAATATACTAATAACCCTAAATTATTTATCTTTAGATGATTTATAAATTTACATATAAAAATCTATTATAAATGTATCTATACTCAGCAAAATCAATTGATTTTTATTAAGGAATTTATTATTGCCAGAAGTTTACATTCATTAATGTATGTATATGTTGTTTACTTTATTAATATATCTATTCTAAAAAGATATGAAATATTATGAAAATGTATTATTTTAATAATTATAAGTAAATTAATAATATATATTATTATTCAATAAATAATAAATAATATTACTAAAGATATAATTTTAAAGGAAAATTCTTTGAGGTCTATAATTATTCTTTATAGTTTATTGAATTCATCAAATGTATTACATAATTAATGTTAATCTGCTTATATAACTCTTTTTAATAACAAATTTACTCATAAATTATTAAAATGGAATTAGATATTTCATAATTGGTTGATAAAACAGTTAGAAGCATCCCAAATTATCCTAAACCTGGAATAAATTTTAGAGATATATGTCCTTTATTAAAAAACATAGAGGTCCTAAACAAAGTGATCGATTATTTCGTAGCAAAAATCAACTTTGAATTTGATTATATTGCAGGATTAGAATCAAGAGGATTTCTTTTCGGAATTTTATTATCATAAAGAATGAACAAAGGTTTCATTCCAATTCGTAAGAAGAACAAGTTACCAGGAGAGAAGATATCTTTAGAATACAAATTGGAGTATGGTAGTGATATAATAGAAATTCAAGCAGATGCTTTTGAGCCAGGATCTAAAATTTTAATTTGTGACGATTTATTAGGTATATAATTTATTATATGCTTAGCAACTGGAGGAACAGCTGTAGCTGCAAATGAATTAATCAATAAAGCTTAAGGTACTACTGTTGGATTTGTTTTTGTGATTGAATTAAAAGATTTGAAAGGGAAAGAGAGATTTGACCCAAAACTTCCTGTAATCGTAGCTCTTTGCGATTGATGATGACAATAATTATAAATAAAATCATATAACGTAACTTCTCATTTGCCTCTTAATTTAAAATAGAGTTTTGTAAAGATGACTTAAGTTTAGTTAATTTGACTTCCTTAAAACAGAAAGGGAAAGAGATTTATTTTTCTTAAAAATTCAATTTGGATAAAAATAGAAATGATTTGACAATTCCATCTCTACCTGATTATTTAATCAAAGTGTTTGAGTTTCCTTTTAATATTAATTAATTTTGTATAGATAATAATTTAGAGACCATGTATTACAAATTTCCTATTAAATTCATCATCCTGCTTTGCTGATTATTTTCTCATAATTGGATATTTGATTAAAGCCTTTAAATGTAAAATTATTCATTGCAACCTTAAATTTATAATGATTTAGAAGAGCATTAAATTAAGATCTTTTATTTTTAGTGTAATTAAAAAATTTCCTTTAATGATTGCAAATAAAATATTATAATTAATTTAATCAGTACTTAAATAGGCTTTAAATAACATAATTTTTCTGTTAAAATATAAGTTTCTTAAAATTATTTATATAAATACAATTTAAATTTTATATTGACAAGTACAAATTTATTTAACTCTTCTTAATTTCAAAGTTATTACAAAAAGATATGTATGTTTATTAGAATTCATAACAATATTTTTTTATTCAGAGATACTATTTAAATCACGTTAATAACTCACTTGATATTTTAATCTAATTAATACATATTTCTTAAATCTTTCATTAGCCTTAATTCTTATTATTTAATATGAAAAATCAATAAAACTTATTTATCCATTTCATATTATCTAAATTTAATTTATTCTTTCCTAATTTATATTTAATTAAATATTATCAGATGCATTATAAATAAATCTCTCATTCTTTAGAATAATAAAATCATTTATCATTATATTCTAAATATGTCATTTTCATTTAAGTTGTATAGATTTTTTAATAACTAAATTCTCTCCATAATGAATACAATTTAAATACTTGAATTTTTAGTATATTCTAAATTTTAATCTTTATAGCATTTAAGTTAAGTTTTATAAAATCATATTATTTTCTCTGTTTATTCAAATGTTTCAATCCTATAGTCTAATCAAAACAAGTATTGCATATAATCACTTAGATCTGATGGATTGTATAGTTTAGGGCTAAAATTAAAAAGGAGGATTATATTTAGGTAATATAGAAAGTGCTGGAAACGGAAACTTATTGAATTTCTATAAAATTGGAGCTATTTTGACTACAATGAGTACATAGGAATATATTTATGATGGAAACATCTCATTTATGGTAAATATAAATTCTTAATCGTTATTTAGTTTATTAGAGTAGATGATGCTGACTTTGTTAATTTAAGCTAATATTTTTAATAAGCCATAGATTTTATCGACTATTATAGATAGTTTACAAATGTTTTAGTGCATTGCTATGCTGGAATTTCACGATCTGCTACTATTGTAATAGCATATCTAATGAAAACATTTAAAATGACTTTAGATTAAGCATTTTCATATGTTTAGTAACAAAGACCAATTATTAATCCCAATCCTGGGTTTATGAAATAACTTTAATAATACGAAACTTTTCTATTTGGTTTTAATGCTCTTAGATATTCATCATTAAAATAAAATGAAATGATGAATTATTAGAATATGTAAATCATAAATCCTGAACGCCAAATTCAAAATATTGATTTTAATTAAAATTTGAACAACTCTCAAATATATTTTAGAAATCTATATGATTCATCACTATAAAATGAAAATTAAACTAATCAACTGTATTATTTATGATTATAACTTTAAACAGGAATTAACCATGTCCATTTGTTTCTCCTTAAGGTTTTAATTAAATTGGCAGTTAATGGACTTCAGTACAACCTTAACAGGATTTGAATAGCCAATATCCTATTCATCGCAGTTTTGACTTTATATAAAATTGACAAATATTTAAATATCAAACAACACTTTTTGAAACTTTGAATTGATTTTAAGTATTAGTTTTCTATTACTCATATGATGTTTTGAAAATTTAAAAATCTTTTAATTTTTCATGATTTTCTCTTGAAGGAGGTTTTTAGTTATTATTTTTTTCTAACTCTGACATAAATTCTTAAATTAAATTATTTTCATCAAGTACTAAGTATATATATATATAAGATATTACCTTATTCATCATCAAATCTTAATTAATTATTCACAAATGATTTAGTATGTTCACTCTATTCACAAAGTTCTATAATAGTATTTAAAGATGGTAAATGTTATTTCCTTCTTTCTTATTTTGGTTTAAATTTCTACTTGATATTAACAAACCAATGATGTTTCATAGCCTCTTCTAATTTTACTCTTTAATCTTTTCTCTCTAAAAGTCTCTTCAATAAATCTAATTATGAAGGACTATAAGCCATTTTATATTCTTATTGTAAATTAATTTACTTAGATTATATTTTAGATACTTCAATAAAGTATTCTTCCATTTAATTAATGAGTTCCATTTTAATTTAATCCATTTTTCCATCATCTTTATCTTATTTAATGTAGAATGTTAAGAAATATAATACTATTCCTATCTGATATAAGTCGGTTTCAATAGAAGGATTTGAGGTTCCTTCAAGTATTTCAGGAGCTAGATAATTAATTTCAATGGATTTTTTATATTAATCAATAGTGTCTTAATCAAATTTATTGATAGGCTTCATATTGATAAGGAAAATGGATAAGTAAGAGGATTGTACATTAATTAAAATATTATTGAGAGTGATGTTACCATGATAAATTTATTATTTATTTAAGAATTTGGTTAACTATAATAATTATAGTATGATCTACAAATAAATCAATTCTTTACAGATGCTAATTATGTTTAATCTAAGATTAATCCTTATTTTAATAAGGTTGTAAGTTTTTCACATCGAAAATATTCGTAAATCAAGTATATGAAACGGCAATCTTAATAAACCCATTTTAAATCTAGTAGAGAGGTATGTTTAACACTTCTTAAAGTTTGAATTTCACTATTTAAGAGTTCTAATTGTGTATTCGAGATTGAACACATGTTAGCAATATAATATTTATTAGTTTTTTTGTGTTAGATTAAGTAATAATCTGCAACAGTTTATTCTTTGACAAAAAATTTCTTAGAAAAATTAGAAAGTTTACAGAATTATTTTAAATTAGTAATCCACTATTTGTAATGTTCATTATTAAGAAAAAAGATTAATAGGTTTCCTATGCCGTTTGAGAGTTATATGCATTATCCTTATTTTGATTTAAATTTGATAATTGTGCAATTTGAAAGGACCAAATATTCATTTTGAATAATAATCAAATTGGGAATGAGAATAATAGGATTTTGGATTAAAGAATCTTTATGATTATTATAGATTGTCAAAGTTTGTTTTAAGATTGGTATAGTTTTATTGATTTCTTCTATTTAAGATAAGGATAATTAAATTAAACAAGTTTAGCGTAATGTATTTTATTAAGTTGCTTTGATTTTATTTAGAATGAATCTGAAGTCATTATTCATTATTAAAATTTATTATTATTATTAAATTTTTAGATTTTATAACATAATAAATTCATAAAATTTAGTGATTCAGTTTATTATTGTTATAAGTAAAGTAATTGGTTATTAGATATATATATATATTATTATTATATAATGATTATAGAGATGAAAGAACTTTGATGATTTTTATAGAAAATAATATTGTAGACTTTGATAATGAAATAAGACTTATAATAAAAGTAAGATAAAAGTATTAATGTATTTAATATTATATGGTGAAATTATATTGAATATTCATAAATATTAATTTAAATAACATATGGACATCAAGAATACTAAAAAGAAACCTGAATTAAGTGAACAGTTATTCGTTGGAAATTATGTTGATGTTTATCATCAAGAAAGCAAAAAATTTAAATTAGCATACATTTTGTAGAAAACAAATAAGGAAATTAAAGTCACTTATGATGGATTATCAAAAAAAGAAAATGAGGTATATTTGTGTGTATAAACATTGACTAGATAATTAAATTATCATAAAATCGAGTATAATTTGCAAGAAGATCTACTTAAAGTAAATAATCATTTAAATCAAGATTACACGGGTGATGACTAGAAACAATAAAAAACATCTCGTGATTATTTACAATATTCAAGAGAAGATTGTGAAAAATATACAAAGGAATTAATAACAATTATGTAAACTAATTTTCAGGGATTTACACCTATTGAGATTATTCAGTGTGTGCGAGTTAGATAGTTTATTTATTTGGACATGGTGCTTTCAAATCAAATCTAACCAAAAGAATTACCTATTGCATTAGAATACATTAAAACTTATTATAACTTCATTAAATGGTATTTTGACTAATTTCCAAAATATTTTGCAGATGTAAATCAATCTATAAAATTAGTATATGAAACATTTGAATAATAATGAACTTTATATTATTGATGAACGAGTATCAATAGCAAGTTGTTTATAAGAAGTTAGTGAAGCATTCTGTATGTTATTTGGATCTATTAAGAGACTTTTAAAATAATAGAATTCTTTTTTTTATGTATTTTTTTTTATTACAATATAGTTAAATCATGATCATTTATAGTAATTGATAGATAAGACTTTTATGGTACCAGTCTACTAAGGATTTGTAACTAATCCTAATATAGAGGATTGGAAACTTTAACCAGAAGCTGGTGATGAAGTTAAATGTATTTAAAAATCATGGTAATTTTATTTAAAAACCATGTCATACTTTCGTTCTATTGGAGGTCTTTAAAGTTGGGAAAACTTATTAAAACCATATTAAGGAGGAGAATATAATTATATTCCTCTTAAAGCCATGTAAAAAATTGTATTAACATAATAATATTTATCATAATATTTTCCATAGTAAGAATAAAGTAATATGGCTAAAAAGACATTGGAATGGTTCTAATAAAGAGTAGCTAATCTGACAATTTAAGATATCAAAGATACAGATATTAATTAAATTAAAGAAATTGTATAAGAAATGCAATATTATTTCTTTAAAGGATATTCATAGGATAATTTAAATAAATTAGTTGATGAAATTTAATTATAATTGGCATTGACATTTTTGAAGTCTAATTTCCTTGAGAAAAGAGTCAAAGGTCTTTGTGAGATAAAAGATTTTATTGAGAAATTCAAATTTGAAACAAATAGTTAAATAGAAATGATGAAAAACTCTATGAACAAGGATGAATTTATTTAATTGATAATTTAGAATAAGATTTTAGATTATACACTTTTAGGTGATTCAGCACATCCAGAATTAATGAAGAGATCAAGTGATGTGGCTATTTTCTTATGTAAAAATCAAGTTTTTTAGAATGATTATGTGGATAAAATATGGTTAAATAATTATAACAAACATGAAACAACTTAATTAGCATTATATGAATTTTTTAAAGCAATCTCACCAGTTCTCTAATTTTAAGGTATTGAGAATCTCTACAATCATATATTGAAAATTCCATATACAAAGTATAATGAAAATATTGTGAGTATGATCGGAACATTTACAGAGGCAGCTTTATCTTAGAAATTTCATAAATAATAATTACAAATAAAGACAAATAAGAGATTTATGACATTCAACTAATTATGGGAATTACTTTAGGATAAGGAAAACCCATTAGTAGATAGTAATATCTAAGAGCAATGTTTTTAAGCAGCTCGTAAAATTATTTAATAAATTCCATAAACAAAATAATTCATTTCTTATTATTTTGGAAAATGTTTTGAATTGATTGGAAATCATAAATCTGTTTATTAGGCTATTAGTTTTGTTCACTATTTTCTTGATAAACAATTAAAGGATGATAAAAGTAAAAAGGAATTGATCTAATTTACAGATGATAAATATAATATTATAGAACTTTTTGTTAAAGATGTTGAAGTTTATATGGAGAAAGTAAGATAATATTTCAAAAATGAGAAACCTTAAGATATCATTATTTATGGAATTTAGAAATTTAGTTAGAATGTATTTTTTAGATTATAGATGTTAAATTATTTACTTTTATAAACTGATCTAAAAATTAATTATTAATAAAGTTTTAGATTATGGGATGCTTTGTCTGCTAAAACTAAAGGTGGAATATAGAAAAAAATATTAAATCAAATTTTTATCAGTAATTATTAACAAAATATTTCTTCTTTTGAAATTAATTAAGTATATTTTGATAAAGAGGGCCAATCTAAGTTTTTTACTTAAGTGTTATGTAATCCTGAAAGGAATGATTATGAAAAGTAAAAGTTTTTGATTAATAATTTAGTTACACAATCGAAGACTTTGAATTATTTTTAGTGTTTTTCAAATCCTACAATTATTCTAGACAGATTATGAATTATTTTGTAAATTCTATCCGTTTCATTGTAAATGATCATAATTTTGAAGGTAAAAATGCCATTTGGTAAATTTTTGCCAAGGTAAAAGATCTAGGCTTGCTTGATCAAATTGCTAATTTTATAATTAATCTTTATACAAATCTAAGTTAAACTCTAGATAATAAATGTGATAAAATATATTAGGAAATGATGGATAAGTGTTTAGAATTAATATAATAATAATGTCCTAGTTTAACTACTAGATCAATTAATCTATTATTATCTTTATTCAATTACTTTTAAAGTGGTCCATTATTAAAGAAACCAATTAAACCTAATAGCTATACTTAATTTATGGTATAAATCATTAATACAAATAATTAAATTACAATTAAAGAATTTAAAGTAGGAGATAAAACAACAATTAATGAAATGAAATAAAAAATAGCTGAAGATTTATAAGTAGCATATTAGTAATTAGATATTATTGTTGATAACAAACTAATTGAATAATAAGTTGATATTGTAGAAAGTTTAGTTAGTCAAGTAATCCAACATATGGCTTAAGTAAAAGTGAGAATCAATAACAAAAGTCATCCTAAAAATTACTTTTCTTAAGAATAACGTACTTTTGATATTCTATTCAAATTACTTAATAAATAAGAAAATACAGAATTCTTGAATTAAGTTTGGGATTTGATTAATAGATTGCCTACTAATATTTAAATAAAAAATTAAATTGAAAATTGTAAAGATTGGAAAAAATACTTAGATCACTCATTCTTTGAAATGTTTTATTTATTATAAATCATATAAGCATTATTAGAAAATGGATAATGGTGTGAATAATTTAATAATTCTGATGGAGTGAATTTAGTAACTCAAAAATTCTTAGGTTAAAAGTTGTAATTTTAGTAAAGACCACTTGAGATTAAATCTTGTTTAACATATTTAGATATACTAAGTCATTCTAATATTAAAATAAATGAGCCTTAAATAATTGATTAAATTAAATAGAAGATATTAGAAATAATTTAAGAACTCAGTTATTACATTAAAACAAAGAAAAAATTTGAATTAGGATAAAAGAAAACATTTTAATAAAAAGAAATGAATCAAAATGAAACTCGTCTTTTAAGAAGATGTTTTAATTATTTACATGAATCTGGTTGTAAATAATATGTAAGATAAAATCATTAATTATAATAACAAATTTATAATTATTATGTAGAACATGAGAATTAAGAACTCAAAAAAGAATATAGCATTTAATTATTAAATTTCAAGAATACTTAAGAAAGTAAATTATTAATTAAAATATTATTTGATGATGTACTAAAAAATGTAATTAAAAATAACAAATAAAAATGTAAACGCTTTTTTGAGTTTTGTTGTAATCTTTTATAATAGGAAAATAATTTAAATATAGAAAATTTTGATTTGGAAGATCTATTGTCCTATATCAAATTAAAACTATAATAATTACCAAAAAATGAAATTAAAATTAAAGATTAAGATTAAATATTAATTGGTTTATTAAAACTCTTGAATGCTATTATAGATAAGCTTCCTCATTTGTCAAATAATAACTAATTATTTGAGTAAATATTAAGTTATTTATTAGAAAATGAGGAAGAAACAAGATCCAAATGTAAATCTTAATAATCAAGAACTGCTGCATTTAATTGTTTATCTACTCTCTTAAAAAATTAATAAAATATGAATAAATTCTTAGACATTATTTCTCATTTACATTCTACAAGCACATGGAGAACTAAAAATTTAAATGATTGGAATATATAAAGTAAATTTAATGAAAAATCATCAACTGGATATGTTGGTTTATATAATTTAGCAGGCATTTCTTATATGAATTCTTTACTTTAATAATTATATATGGTGACTGCATTTAGAGAAAAATTATTAAAGGTAGAAGACAAGAATAATTGTGTTTAAGAAGAGAATCTATTGCATTAATTGAAATGTTTATTTTTAGCATTAAAATATTCTTAAAAATAATATCATAATCCAAAAAAGTTCTGTTATGCTTTTAAAGATTTAGATAGAAATCCAATAAATGTCTTTTAATAAATGGATGTTGATGAATTTTTTAATTTACTTATGGATAGAATTGAATTAAATATTAAATCAACTTCAGATGAAGATTTAGTTAAAAGATTCTTTGGTGGAGTAATGTCAAATGAAATTATTTGTAAGACTTGTCCTCATTAATCTGAAAGAGAAGAACCCTTCTTTGCTATATCTCTACCTGTTGTAAATAAGAAGAATTTAGGAGAATGTCTATAAACTTTAGTACATGGAGATTTACTTGAAGGAGAAAATGCATATAATTGTGAATAATGTAATAAGAAAGTTAATGCATTAAAGAGAATGTGTATTAAGAAATTACCAGATCATCTCGTTCTTGTTTTGAAAAGATTTTATTTTGATTTTGATTTGATGGCAAAAGCTAAAATAAATGATAGAATAGAATTTCCATTTGAATTAGATATGATGCCTTATTCTTAATAAGGATTGAGATAATAAGAAAATAGGATAAATAATTCAAATGAATAAGATAATCCTTAAGAATATTATTAATATAGATTAACAGGAGTTGTTATTCATATGGGTTAAGCAAATAGTAAACATTATTATTCAATTATTTAAGATAAGGATGATTTAAATAAATGGTATGAATTCAATGACATTTTAGTGACTTCTACAAATATAAAAGATCTTAAGAATGATGCATTTGGTGGTGCAGATAAAATGTTAAAGAATTAAGATTAATCTAAAAATGCTTATATGTTGTTTTATGAAAGAATATATCCTATAAACATAGCTGATCAATAATAATAAATAAATGTAGAAATAGATTAGAAAACAGTTTAATTTTTAGATGAAATTAAAGATGAAAATAGAAAATTCCAAATTCAAAGATTTATATTTAGTCCAGAATACTTTAATTTTATGTAGAATTTGATTAAACTCTAATTATAATAATAATAAGTTTAAGATTAAATTATATAAAAACTAGTTTTCTTTTATTTGACATGTGCAGTAAGAGAAAATGATAAAACATTTGTTACAAATAATATTTTAGATATATAAGTATTATTAAGAAAATCACCTAATACTTCTTATTGGTTATTAAAATGTTTCAATTAATAATAATATATAAGAGAATTTTAATTTGATTGTTCAAAAAAAATGGTAAGAAAATTTGTAATTTCAATGATAATTACAGCAATTGAGACAGTTTAATAATAAGAAGATTATTAAGATTTATTTGAAATTGTAGATGATAAACCAAAATCATTAGTAGCTTCATTAATAAATGTTTGGATATAGATGATTACTGAATTAAAAAAGAGTTTAAAAAATTCAGTAGAATTTTATGATCTTTTCTATAAATTTGCTAAATTAAACAAATTTAATGCTTAATATTTAATATCAAAAAGATTAGTTGGAAAATTGTTGGATCTTGTTCTTGATGTTCTTAAAGTGGATACTAATATAGCCTAAAGGGAAGTTGTAAGAAAAATAGATGATGTAAAAATAATTAAAATTAATGATGATCCAAATAATTATTTAGGATAATAAAATAATTAAAATTTTGATGTTGCTTCAAATTATTATGATGAATTATTGGAAGAGAAATTTGAAAAATCAATGAATTCAGGACCTTCAACTAGTAGAGTATATTTATGGAGAGTGATAGCTTATTTAATAAAAGGAGAATTTAAGTAATTGTTATCTGCAGAGGAGTAAATTCTACTTTAATTCGATTAACAATTTATTTTATAACTTTTAGAAGAAGGTGATTGTAAATTAGCCATTAGAATGATTTCGGATATTTTATGTGTTATTTCAATGGATAATTAAAAATAAAGTGATCTTGTTATAAATTCTATCATAAAGTTAATAAATGATAGGGAATATAAAGATTATAGAAAATATATAGTAGTTTTAAAAAGATTATTTTAGATGAAAGATTAACTTTAAATTACAAGAGTAAAATACATATATTATTAAATTTTAGATCAATATAGGAATGACTAAATTTTTGGATATAATGTAAAAATAAGGATAATACTTCTTAGAAACTGATGTTTGTTAGCAATATATTTTAAGAGTATATATATATTCTCAATTATATATAGATAGTCTCCAAGAATTAAGCAGTTCATTAATGGATGGTCAAAAATTAAAAATTCTGGTAATGGATAATAGAAATCAATAATACATAACCACATCCAAATGATAGATTAATTGCCAATAATTCAATTCCACAAAAATGTTAACATAGATTACATAATATTTATCTACCCAATACTTCTTAAGGATATGCAAAATTATTAAGTTGGAAGAAACTATAATATATCAATTTGCCCAAAGAACCATTTAAATTAAATGATGATTTTGATACAGATGATGATTTGACTGAAAAAAATGTTAAGGTTGATGAGAAAATAGACTATTAGTAATATTTATATTATATTTAAAGTGATTAAAAATAATGGATTACTGCAACTATTAGTAAAGTAATGGGGGATTATATTCATTTAACTTTTAGTAGTAAAATGGCTCCATAAAATATGGATATTGAATTAGATAATGAAGTACTTGCTCCATTTAATACTTTATCTAATAATAATAAAATACCTGGTATATTTAATTGTTATTTATTATAATAGGTTATTATAATCAAAGTTATGAATTGGTTATTTAAGATCAATCTGATCATGATAATGATATAGAAGAAGGTAATAATAATTCTAATAATTAAACTGATTCAGATGGAGAGTGATATTAACAATCAATTAAGTATTACAATATACTTTTAATATATATAATATTGTTTTTTTTTAATATGTCAAAGTAATGGTAAATACATTAGAGTGTGCAAGAGAGCTTATGTTCTTCTTTAAATAAAGATGAAATTCTTGAAGAGTTTTTAAACATTTGCAATGATATCTCTTAAGAAGATCAAAATAGTATTAAGAGTTTGAATTCAAAAATATAAACAATAAAAAAACATTATGCTTAATAGAAATGTAGAATTGAACATCAATTTAAATACATTTAAACATTATTAGAATAAAAAAAGAAAGAGTTAATGACTTTATTAAATACACATGAATAGGAATTAGATAAAACATTCAAAAATTTACTTGATTAAGTAACTCAAATATAATCTGTTACTTTTAATATATAAAATGATATTTTAAGTAATAGATAAGAAATTCTATCAGAAGTTGATGATGATACATTTCATAATATTCTCTCTCAATTTGATTAAGAAATTCAGATGACTTAAAAATACAAAAAAGAAATTTTGTCATCTAAAATTACACTAATTATTATTGAAGAGTGGACATCACATCATTAAGATGTAATAAAAAGTTTACTCAATTAATGCATAACTATTAAAGATTATCAAAAACAAATTGAAACTTAATAATCAGAATTAAGTGCTTCAACCAGTAGTGAAAAATTCTAAACTTCCAATAGATCCAGTCAAGAATTCTCTATGAAATAATAAACACCATTAATAGTAAGTTTTGATTAAAAATATTTTTTCACTTAAAAATAAACTGAGATATCAAAATCTGATTCTGATATGCATGATAGTTGTGAGTCTGATTTTCTAAAAGAAATGACATAATCCTGAATAGTCATTCACTTAATTTATTGTTGTGTATAATATATTATTTATATTACTAAATTATTAACTAATATTAATACATTTTTGAAACACTAGCTAATATAAAAATAATTAATTTAATTTTTATATCCCATCTATTCATTTAATATATAAAACTTACTTTTTAAAGCTATTCATTAATAGTACTTGTATCATCTAAAAATGTAATCTTACAATTATAACCAATAATGTATTAAAGTTTTTATCTAATTGAATTCTTTTTTATAAGAAAAAGAATATAAAGCCTTTTAAGCATAATAATAATGTATAACTATGTTTAATAAATCGTTATAATATATAACTATGCTTAATAAATGCAATTATATTATTATAGTTATAAAATTATATATTATTAATTAAGTATTTACTGAACTCTCTTGTTTATGTAATAAAATTATCCAATTTTCATATTTATTGTCCTATAACATCTTTAAATATAGAATAATATAAAATTTAGAGTAGAAATTCATATAAATAATATATATGAATATATTCATTTTCAGAATGTGGGTATTACGTATTCCTGTTCTTTTATTATTTTATCATTCAGTATTATTTTGAGATTCAATTTTGAGAATTTTTTAGTATTTGAATAGGATGCTTATTAGAGTTGTTCTTTTTGGTCCAATTATATATTTTTTTTTCTATAATTATGTAGTATGGTTTTAGCTGTAGCATAATTAATGTTAAGATCCTTAGCAATCTAAAGGGAATATAATAATATTGAGTACTCGTTTAATTTTGCATTTCTAGAGAAGAACAGTTCTAATCAACTAAGTCTTTTTCTCCTTTGATATCATTTTATATTCTCTCTTTGGAAGTAAAGTAGCATCATTTTGAATAGATTGAGATCCTGATTATTTATAATCATTGTCATTTATGGGTAATTTTGTAAGTGACATTAAATTTGATCAAAAAGTTTTTGTTATTCTTAATTCAATAATATATTACAAATAGATTTAGTTAAATATTATATTTTTCTTAATGTAAATATAAAATTATAGGTAATATGAAAATTCAGATGTTTTCAAATATGGGAACAATAATAGATTGTTATTTACTTGTGATCATGCTACTAATGTGTAAATAATCATATAAATAAATTAGATTGCCATAAGGTCTTGAATGGTCTAAAGATGATCTAACAAATTTTGCAAACACTCATTGGGCTGTAGATATAGGGTAAATAAATTATATGAATATAGAGCATTGAATTTAGCAAAATATTTAGCCAATTAGACTGAATCTACTCTAGTTCATAGTAAATATAGGTATAAAATCCAAAAATATTCAGTCGACTTTATTGTGATGTCAATAGGTAAATTTAATCAGAATCACTGTTTAGATAAACAGGAGATAACTAATAAATTGAATTAAATTAAAGTAAGAAAACATATATAAAATTTTCAGATTTATCACTCGAAGAATAATGGATTAGAATATAATACCATTCAAATTATCATTTTTAAGTCAGATAAACTATACATGAATTAAAACCTAATTTTATATACTCAATTCATTCATTTACACCTGAATATGAAGGAAAGAAGAGAGATGTTGAAATAGGTATATTGACTAGCATTTTTGATGAATTTGGAGAAGCACATCAATAAATACTAAAAAATAAAGGATATGATTGTAGAATTAATGAACCTTATACAGGAAAAAAAGGTTTAAATTTTTCTATTGATTGGTATGATAGTTGTAATCAACATTTTCTAGTGCATGTTTGACATTTGCTAAACCAATAGTTGGCACTTTATTTGAAGTTAGGAATGATATTCTCAGCAATCCAGAGAGATTTGCAAAAGTTTCTGCAGATATTCTAGCAACAATTTTAGAAGTTATTGGAAAATGGAAATGAATTAATATATATATATAGATTAATTAAACATATCATAAATTTTTACATTTTAATTTAGGTCTATAACCTATTTATTCTGTTAATTCTTTAAATTTTGCCATTTATCTATAATTATTAGTGATACAAGGTGGATATGATGATTTGAGATCTACAGATTTATTTTGAAAGTGAAGTGATTATTTCATTTTAATTTACTATTTTTTATTAATTGATATCACTCTATGTGATTTGAAATCAAAAGATTTTTTTTCACCTTCTTCACATTATTTACATATTAATTAGATATTCTGGAAAATTGGAAATTTAGTATAAGGATCTATTTTTGATAATTTTGCTTTATAAGATTTTCCATCATTAGTTGTAATAACTGTATCTGGTTTAACAAATTCTAAAGGAAATTATACAAAATAATTATGTTTTTCTGTATCTGAAATAATTTATTTAATGGGTCTTTTGGCTTTTCCATAATTAATTACAGAATGTAATAAAATTGTATTTTCTGTTGTATCTATTTTGTGAAGCAACCCTTAATATCTTGAATGATTAGGTGTCTCTATGTTTATAGTTATCATCTATTCTATTATATAATTTTTATTATATTGTAATTTTTTTTAATATGATTTTAATAAATATTTAAATAAAATAAAACAAAGCATGCCAAACCATTTATTCAGAACTCACCCAAGAACTTATGGAAAGGATTCAAGAGGTAATTCAAATTGACATTTCATAGAATGCAGAGTATGTGCTGCCAGATAAGGTTTGATTAGAAAATATGGCATGAATGTATGCAGAAGATGTTTCAGAGAAAATTATGAATTGATTGGATTTCACAAGGTAATTCATTAACTTAATTTCAGTACAATTGAAGTGTTTTTGATATAATAATTACAACATTAAATAGATCATCTATTCTTAATTTAAATATATATAAATGCAAATATTTGAAATATTCAATAGATGTTTTTATACATCTTTTGATAATTTTGAGATTTCATTATGATTTTAGAATACCTTTCTTTGGTTTATTTTCATAGTCTATAATTATTTCAACAATAACTAATTGAAAGAATCAATTGATATCAAATCATCACATAAAATGATTAAATAGCAAATTGATTGCAATATATTATTTAATTACATTATATGCTTAGGACTGATTAGATAATAAATTATTCTGCTCTCTATATTGATATGTAATATAGAAATCTCTTCAATACATAATGGTCATACATAAAACCATTTGATTAAGATAAGTATATTCAATAGTAAAGATTAATTGAAATATCTTAGATAGAAGAAATATGACTTGGAAGATTAAAAAAATAAAAAATACTTGTGACTCTATGTGTAAGAGCTTCAACAGATATAATATTACAAGTAAAACTATTTGTCATTATAATAGGCTTTAAATTGGCCACCAGGTTCTGAAGTCATAATTACAGGAATAGGCATACCAGAAATGGTTTAAGTGTTAAGATTAAATGGACTAATACCATTACCTATTGAAGTGGATCCTCACACTTTAGGATGTACACTTGATCAATTTAAAAAATTTTATTCATAAAGAGTATCTCATGTTTGTATAATTAGACTAAAGGAATAATGATTTCTTATGTATTTGGGACTAAATTTGATTCATCTGATATTATTGATTGGGCATAATCTAAAGGTTTATTTATAATGGAAGATGAAGCTGAAAGCTTTAATGCACCTAATGCTAAATGTAAAATTAAACTATATTTCTTAGTAAATCCAAATGTAGAGTTTTCTACTTTTAGTTTTAGTTCTATTAAAACTTATTCTGCTTTTGGAGGATCTATTAGTGTTATTAGGAATAATGAGGTACTTTATAGTAAAATGAAAGCAATTCAAGAAACTTAACCAAAATGGTCATAAAGAAACTAAGATATTAATTAAAACTTTTAGCTATTTGAAGAGAACTTTAAAAAATTTAATCCAAATGATTTTGTTAAATAGCAGAACAATAAAAAGAAGTTCAAGATGGATTTTTAGCAATTTCTTTTCTATTAGGCATTACAAAGAATTTGTAGTCAATATTATTCGAGGATTCCAAAAAAACTCAGCTGATTATGTATAAACTTATAGGTTTAGAGTTCCTGATCCTATGTTGGTTATGATGGAATGAAAACTTTTGATGTTGATTAATTTAATATGTCTATATCTAGATAATTAGTTGGTCAGAGTATTTTGAAGAAAGGTGGTTTGCTTGTACCAGGACATGCTGTTGAGGAGAGAAAATTTTGGTAAAATAGAAATTTAAAGTTATTTTCAACTCGGGCTTTACCCAGTAGTTGTTGCAGATCCTGAAACGACATATAAGGTTTAAATTCAAAGGGGATTGATGCCTATATGGGAGTGATATAATTGGATATTGTTGAAAGTCCTATTAGAAGTTCTTACTAATATCCGAACAGTACTTTAGCATATTTAAAAAATGTAATTTTATTCAATAGATTTACATTAGATTCTATATTTACCAATTTATTAGAATGCAGATTTGAAATCAACTCAGATTATTTGTTACGAAGTTGTTGATGTTTTGGAAATGTTGAAGAGTTAATACCCAAAATTGTGATTTAATTTATAGTAATAATTATCAATTTCATTTAATTGATTCAGTTTTTTTTATGTCTGCAAGACTATTATTTTTTTAAATATAAGTTTTTTATAAACTTGAAAATATGAAATATTATTTATTTCATTACTCATGTCTTGATTTCCCGTATCTGAGTTGATAACTTAATTTATTCTTTTGGAAAATTATTTAAAAAATCTTTTTTTAACACTTCTAATTTCAAGAATTGTGATGAATTTCGATGATGCTTCTTTATCTTCACTCCATACTTATAGAGTCAAAACTCGTTAGTAATAAAAAGGCATCCAGCCTTCTATTCAAAAATCCAAAAGAAAATACTGTCATATATCTCCTGATAGAAAGAATTAGTTAATTTCTCTTGTGCTCGATAAAAAGCTTAGGATCAAAGATGTACTTATATATGTATATAATTTATAATAGGCTGCTGCTATTTGTAGTTTAAATTATTCCACAGCCAAAACAATACTTTATACTTTGAGGCATAGACCACCTAAGTAAGCTATAGTCAAGCCAATTTCGAATTCAAAATAGCTAAACCTAACTATGAGAATTCTTATTAATGGCAAACTAGTGAATGAGTATGATTTTTATGCAAAATCGAATAAGAGTTGAAGTGTATTAATTACATCTCATATATAAAAATCTTATGAAATTGACATTTAATAGCATAATGAAACTTCGGACCCATATTTTTATAATTATCATATTTGGTTCAGACTTTTTTAAATCATTATCTAAAAACTGAATAAAATAATACATGTAAATTACTGTATTTAAAGAATTGCTCATACAATTAATTCTTTCTCAGATTTGAAATTTTGATAAAATATACATTACATCTAAGTTCTCTTGGTATTTTCTATTTCATTCCATTTTCTAGAATGATAGGTCAAATCAATTAAACAGTGTAGATGGACAAAATTATAAACAATCTTTTTAAGATCACTCATTCATTATTTTATAATTTCAAACATAATTGTTTGATATTGTTAACAAAATTAACACTATGTTCTCATATTCGATAAAATTATGTTCAAGACAAGCTTTATATTTAATAATCACAATTATTCAAAATTAATTTAAAATTCATTATTTTAGTTAATTAAATGATAACTATATACAATAATAAATTATTTAAGGTTGTATTCATTAGTCAATAATAATGATTTCTTAATCTATAAGAATATTGGAATTATTAAAAACAGAATATATGATTATTAAATAATATATGAAACTTTTTTGTTATCTATTGTTCAATTAAATCTCATATATTTATCAGATGAAATATTAAAGTAATTCTTAAGATTGCTAAAATCTTATTCATTTGATATGTGAATTTTTAATAAGAAATTTAGAATAAATTGTAAATTGAAATTGTGAAATTTTTTGTAATAATTAATTAGTAGTGATTCTAAAGATTATTATATGAAAATCTAATTTTATGATACTTCTCAATAAATTAAATTAATAAAATTCTAATTCTTTATAAGTGAGTCCTACATATAATATATGAAAATTAGATCCATCAATCCAATATTTAATATATACACAAGGAATTCTAAAAATAATCCAATTTATTTTGTTAAATATTTCACAACATCATGAAAACTAATAATAAACTTATCAAAATAAATGTTAAAATGCATATTTAACTAATTTAATTTTAATACTTTCTTTAAAGTTAATGTTTTTTCTAATATAGCTTCATTCATATTATTAATTCTAAAATAATTTGTGGTTTAATTTCAGATTAAACAATTTGAGACCTTTAATGCAAAATTTTGAAAATAAAAATGATAATAATTTGTTTATTTAGCTTTTTGATTTATAACTTTAATATAAAGCAATCAATTAGACAAAATATAAATAATTAGATTATTAATATGATTATAGAATCAAATGTACCCTAAAAGATCATAGATTTATATAAACCTTACAAAAAATAGTTCGAAAGTGCTAAACATGTTCTATAAGGGCATACATTTTATTTAGATTAAAGATATATGCCGATTGATATAAGTGAAAAATTATTTTATAAAATTAGTTGGTCAAGGAGCATATGGTTGTGTAATACAAGCAATTGACAAATTAACAAATAAGCCTGTTGCTATAAAAAAAATAGAAAGAACATTCAATCATCGACTATTTGCAAAAAGAACCTTAAGGGAATTGAAAATACTAAGATTAATAAGACATGATAATGTATGATAGATATTCCTATAGAAACTTTAGGTAGTAGATTTAAAATAAGTTTTATTGCCTCCTAGTAGAGAAGAATTTGAAGATGTTTATATGGTGATGGATTTATTGGAAGCAGATTTATCATAGGTTATAAAAAGTGATTCAATTTTAAATGATGATCATATGCGACTGTTTATTTATTAAGTATTAAGAGGTCTAAAGTACTTACATTCAGCTGGTATATTGCATAGAGATTTAGTAATAATCATATTTAATTTAGAAACCAAGAAATTTATTATTAAATAGAAGTTGTGATGTGAAGATATGTGATTTCGGTTTAGGTAGAGCAATAGCAGAAAATATTTAAAATAATATTATGATGACTTATTATGTTGAAACTAGATGGTATAGAGCTCCTGAATTACTAATTGGATATTAAAATTATAATTCAGCTGGTAATTATTAAAGTATATAATTTTAAGTTGATATTTGGTCAGTTGGATGTATTTTAGCTGAAATGATTCTTAGAAGACCTTTTTTAAGAGGAGATTCTACTAAACATTAAATCAAAGTGATTTTTGAATTATTAGGAACTCCAAATGAATAATATATTTAATCATTTCCAGATTTAAAAGTACAATAAAATCTAAGAAAAATAATTCAAGAGTATGGTCATTAAAATGGTATTGGATTAAATTAAATATTTGGACATATTAATTAAGATCGTATATATATATAAAATAATAATTAATAGTTCTAGATTTATTGAAAGGACTATTGAAATTTGATCATAGAGATCGTTTAACTGCTGTATAAGCATTAAAACATTCATTTTTATAAATTTTACATAGTGAAGAAGATGAAGTAAATGCATTTTTCTTATTTAATATTTTAGCCAATATCATTACCTGTAAATCCTTTGGAATTTGAGTTTGAAAAATATGAATTGACTAAAGAACAATTGAAAGGTATATTAATTTAAGATATATATTGTTAGATATGCTTTATGAAGAGATCTTACTTTATCATTTTTCAGAATTTAGAAATTAATACTTCTAAAAGCTTTAATCTGGTTAATCATTAATTAGTCATATTGTAAACAATGAAAATGCTCGAATAATTGATCCAAATGCTGATGATGATTTTGAATAATGATCAATGAAATTAATTCTTTTGTAATATTATATACAATCATTCTGCATGATAATTTTAATAATAATTAAGTTCCTTAATTTAATTAATTTAAGGAATTTATGAATAATCAATAATTACCAAGAACTCTTGAAGAATTAAATATTGACACTAAAGAATTAAGTAAAAGAATAAAAGCCTTATAAAATTCAAAGGCTGTCCTTTCTATTTTTGAGTCAGATGAGTTTACTCCAGAGATATTGATACATTATTTTATGGCCACTTTCAATGAAGCTGGACCTCATTAATATTTAACTAATAGATTGTATCATATGCCTAAAAAATTCATCGAATATTATATACCATAATTTGTGTAAAATTTCTATAATATATCTAGATATATGGTTGTAAAAAATGGGTCTTAAAGTATGGAAACATTCTTAGAATCATTAAGTTCTTTATGTATTGCTAATTATTTTAAAATACTTTGGTGTTTGATTGCTTATTCATAAGATGAAAAAAAGAATAGTAAAACATATTCTAAATTGGAATCATTTTAAAGAGTAAATATGTATTTAATTATATAAGCGATTAGAAAAAGCAATGATTAATGGTGCTCTTACTATGAACAATGATCAAATTGAATAAAATAAAGATAATCCATAATTTTAGGAATGTAATTTGTTTGTTGAACATTTTTAGAATTGATGAAATAATGTATGGAGAAGGAATTTAGATCTCATTACATGATTGCATAAGATCGATTCATTATTTAAATGATTTAATTATCCTTGACATTAAAATCAATTGAAAATGAAAATAGAAAGAAATATCTATATTCATAAATTTAAAAGGGAAATAATGCTATAAAAAGAATGACTAATATGAATAGAAGTTTAGCATATTTTAGAGGAATAATAATACCATTTGAGAGGGATTATGAATCTTTTGAAGCATCTAATTTAGTATTTTTTCATTTAAAAAATAAAAGATGGTAAATATATGTGAAGAGGGAGCTGCTTGTTTTAACACTAAAACTAGAGTCCCATATAGAATTGTTATTGAAACTATTAGTATCATAGAGTAGCAAGCAAAAATTGATTCAACAAAAGTAGATGAGAATGATAGTTATGTTTTGAATGATTCTGAAGATTTTATATAGATGGATGTTCCTAATAATTTAGAAGAATAAATGAAACAATTAACAAATGAGAAATAGTAAGATATGATTTACAATTAATTAATAAAATATGACAGTTAGAGTTCTAGTTTTAAGGATTTTGATGATTTAAATTAAAATATAGAATTAAACAAAAATCTAGAATTGATTAAAAAGAGAAGTAATTCTTGGTCAGATACTGAAAATTCATAACTATCTGAAGAACGTTAAGAAATACATAGTCCTTAAAAAAGTAAAGATTTAGAAGATGGTTTATCATCATAAGGTTCTGAACAAAAGATATCTTCATTAAATATAGGTGTAGTAGAATAAAATTAGCAAATCTAAGGATTTATATAATCCCCTATAAAATAGAGATCATCAATAAATTATATCCAAATTAAATCAAATAGTAATTTAAATCCTTGGGGTGAAGATTGGTAAGATAAGATTGAAAGAATTAAATAAGAATCAAAATTTAAAGATTTTGAATCATTAAAGATTAGAGTAATAATGGTTAAAGGAGGTGATGATTTAAGATAAGAATTATTAATAATGTAGGTGATATAAAAAATGTCGGAAATATTTAGATCAGCTTAATTGAATTTATTTTTAAAGCCTTATGAAATAATAGTTGTATCTGAGAATTCTGGTATATTAGGTAAAGTATATTGAGTTATTTGATAGAATTTGTATAAAATACGGTTTCAATGGATGGATTGAAGAAATATTTAGCTAAATAGAAATTAAGTTTAGTCTAATTTTATAAATAATATTTTGATTCTGAATATCATTAAGCTCAAAAGAATTTTGTAGAAAGTTTAGCAGGATATTCTTTACTTTGTTATTTTTTGAAAATTAAGGATAGACATAATGGAAATATTTTGGTTGATAATTAAGGACATTTGATTCATATAGATTTTGGTTTTGCACTTTCAATTTCACCAGGTAATGCTGGATTTGAAACAGCTCCATTTAAGATGACAAAAGATTATTTAGAAATTATGGATAATAAAAATTCTAGTATGTTTGAATATTTTAGAAGATTAATGTTTAGTGGATTTATGGAAATAAGAAAATATTGTGCTTCAATCTTTTAAATTATTGAAATAATGATGGAAAAGAGCAATTTTAATTGTTTTAAATTTTTTGAATTTTCTGAATTTAAATAAAGATTTTTGTTGAATAAAACTGAAATATAAGTAAATAGTAATTTAATAATATAAATTAGTGTAGATAAGAGATTGATAAATTAATTTAAATGAGCATAGAAGACTCTCGTACTAAACTTTATGATTAATTTCAATATCTAACTAATGGAATATACCATTGAGTATATTGTCATACAATTGACAGTGATTAATTTGTATAAAATGTAATATCATATATTTATGAATGTGATCATATATTAATCAATTAAAATATATCTAAATGCATATCATATTGTAGTGCCTTGTACTTGCATAATTGATTCTTATTACACTTTCTTAAAGTTGTTTAAATTCAAAAGGATAAGAAGTAGATTGGTGGTTTATCTTAAAAATGCCAAAGAATAGAGATGAAGGATGGACAGGTAAATTATTCGATATTGAATTTAGGATTTGAATATTTTTATTGTGATAAAGATAATGATTGCATAGAATTCAATTTATAAGATGATAATTTGGATTCTGCTACATCTCCATTAATGTAGACAATCAAAACAATTGATTTTACAGATGATAAATTTATTAGTATTTTATGGAGTGATTAACCTAATGGTAAAATAACTTATTCAAATCATGCTCATTCTAAAGGTATAATGAGAGCAGGATTAGAAGGTAAAAAAAATGCTTTTATAATATCTCATTCAACACCAAGATTCCCAAAATTGAATGAATATGGATAGTATTACTTTTATATAATATTTTTAGAATAGATGACGAAGTAGAAGATAATTTTGCTAGAAACGGATAACATTTTTTATGTTTATCTACAACAACAGATAAAATAGATGAGATTTTAGCAGAGAGTTATTATGAGGCAGAAATTTAAATTTATAAAGTCAGCTAAACTCCTACTAAGATTTTTGGTAGAGGATATTATCCAAATATATAAAAATTATGGTAAACTAAAAAACCTGGAAAGGGTGAATCACATCATCGTTATTCCAAAACTGTATTAAATCTTATTTATATTTATAAAGACTCTTTATAGTCATGTAAGATTCACTACAAGAGAAAATTAGAAATTTAAGATATTTTCAAAAAATGAAGATTTTGAATAAGATTTTTATGCAAAATTTGTAGCTGAAGAACTTTAATAAGATTTGATTATGGAAACCTGGGTAAGATAAAAAGGGAAAGGATTAGATAAACCAGTATGTGAAAAATATCAAACTTCATCTAATCATTAAGTGTCATTTCATGGGAAAAATAAACATAAAGACGTTACATTTACATATTCCTACACTAAAGATCATTCAAAATATGGTATAACCCTTCCAAGAGATCCTACATCTACTTCAAAAGGTGAATCATTTATCACAACAGATTATTCACAATCATCTTTAAAAGGTTAAATATTAACAAGTGTTAAGAATCTTTAAAGAAGCAAAATATTTAATGTAGATGAAGATACAGTAATAAAAGAAGATGAAGATGAAGATGAAGAAATGGCAGATGCTTCTCCAAAACCTGATGATTCCATGGATGTTGATCATCCTAAAAAAGAAGAGAAACTTCTTGGTAGAAAAAGGAAAAGAGATGAACCTGAAGAATTAGAGCCTCCTTCAAAAAAAATGCCTACAGAAAAAAAAAATAAAGATAAATACGTTTGCGTCAGTGATTTAAATAGATAATAATCTTAGTGGTTTAGAGGTGGAGTTGTCTATTGTTTTTATAATGAGAATCTATGGGGTCATATTGATAAGGCATTTGTTGGAAAACAATTATGCAAAAGTTGAATAGATTCATTTTATAATATTAAATAAATAAATAATTAATTAATATTCTTTCGCTTATTTTTAATTTCATCATTTTTTTAAACTTTTATATAAATTTTATTAAATACTTAAATCGTTTATAAAAATATAGGGAAAATCAAAAATCATTATTTCTAATAACCTAAGTTTCTTTAAAAATAAATATATCTAATAAATTTATTATAGATATGTAATATTTAATACTATTATTAAAAAATAGAATTGAACTAAAAAAGAAGGTTTTATGATGAGTTTATACTTATATACCTTCAAAATATTGTGGAAGTCTGAAAAATGAATTAATTTATTTGTAAATTATATACTTCCAATTGTAAATTATAACATTATATAAAATATATTTAAATATACATAAATAGTTTATTGAATGAAAAGATCATGATTTCAATCTGAGAAATCATGGATTAATTGATTGTAGATTTAATTAAAAATTAAAGATAAAATATGATATTATAATTATAATAAATGAACCAGTATTAATAATTTAAAGAGATAGAATAAAAGTCAAGTAAATTTTAATTATAAACTTCAATTTAATCATAATTAGATAGATTCTGATAATGATAATCAATTCTTTTATTAATATTGAATTAATATTTTTATTAATAATGTTTTGTTGCTCAAATGTAAAAAAGAAATAAGCATAACCAACACAAAATAATTTGAATAATCATCAACATTCTCTAGTAATGAATTTTATTATTCAAGGATCAAACTCTTAATATAAATGATGAAGCATTTACATTTAATACTACTATGTAAATCTAACATATTAATACCATTCAAACCTATAAGGTTACTCAAGATTTATAAACTATAAGGTATTATGAAGTTTTATAAATAGGAGTAGCAGATCGAATAGTCGAGGGACTAAAATTAATGATCATGTTGCCTAATCAATTCTTGTTAAACCTTTAAGAAAAAATCCTTTTCTAACTTTCAATAAAAAAGGAACTGATACTACAACCAAATATTTATCTACAAAATAAGGATATACTCTACTTGTTACTAGGACTACTCAATGAACTTTACAATTTTGTGATTTTATTTTTATTGTAAATAATAGATTATTATTCAATCAAACCAATTGAATAATTCATTTTATACTCAATATTTAAATTCATAACATAATTGATTCTCATTAGAAAAACTTTCAATAAAAAAAAACATTATTTTTTCATAAATCCATTGAACTCTTTTTTATAATGATCTATCAAATTTATTTGTTTATAAATGATAATATTTATGAATGTTAGATGCCTATGTTTATTTATCTAATATAGAATGTTCATTTTAATCAAACTTAGATGTATTTAAAATATACATATTTTATAAATACTTTTCAATTATACTAAAATGAACATAGGTTTCTTATGTGTATATTTATTATTATTTAATCATGATTGTTAAAAGAATATCAATACTATTTATTTATACATTATTATTTGATTATTCAATTCATTCTTATTGTTTAATAGAATTTTCGTTTGTAATTTTCTTCTGAATTATATTATATTCTATTTTAATTGTATTTTCCTTATTAGTTATAATTTATTTTTGATTCTGAATGATTTTATTTTATATTAAGATTTATAACCATTAGTATTAATTATTTTGTTAGATATATCATTAAAAGTAGATTAAATTATGAATTTTTATATATATATTATAAAACATGTTTAAATTAGGAGACTTTTCATTTAATGGAAATTGAATTTTTTTCAATAATTATTACGTTAATATATTATTTATCAAAAAGAAATGGATAAATATAAAATTGGTAAGGTATTAGGTGATGGAACCTTTGGGTCAGTCTATAAAGCAGTAGATGAAACAACTGGTTAAATTGTTGCTATCAAGAAAATGAAACATAAATATAACAAATGGGATGAATGTATTAATCTTCCTGAAATCAAATCACTTTTGAAATTACATCATCCAAATATTGTGAAATTGTATGAAATTATTAAATAAAACGATGAATTGCATTTTGTATTTGAATTTATGGAACGCAATGTTTATCATCTAATGAAAGATAGATAAAAGCCATTTAATGAGATTCATATTAGGAACATTATATATTAGACTTTATAGGGATTGGCATACATGTATATCTCTATTAAAATAATAGGCATAAAATAGGTTACTTCCATAGAGATTTAAAACCAGAAAATTTGTTAGAATCAAATGGTACAATAAAAATAGCAGATTTTGGATTAGCAAGAGACATTAGATCTTCTCCTCCATTTACAGATTATGTTTCTACAAGATGGTATAGAGCTCCAGAAGTAATTTTGAGATCTAATGAATACAACTCTCCTATTGACATTTTTGCAATAGGTTGTATAATGGCTGAGTTATATAGATTATGGCCTCTATTTCCAGGTACTTGTGATACAGATTAATTGTAAAAGATTTGTGAAATCATGGGTACACCTTCAGAATAAGATTGGCCAGATGGTATATATATTTATAATCTAAAAATTAGGGTATAAATTAGCAGCTAAAATATAACATCGTTTTCCAAAGAACATTTAACCAAAGCCTTTGTCATAAGTTATTACATAAGCTAGTGATGATGCTCTTGATTTAATTTCTCAAATGCTTCGTTATAATCCTTTGAAAAGACCTAATGCAAGTTAGGCTTTGGCTCATCGTTATTTTATTGTTGCTCTTCCAATTCTTCCCTCTTTAGATAATATTGAACAATAATAGGATTAAGATTATACTAATTTTTAATAGGATGATTAATAATAAGATTAACGATTTGGACCTCAGAATTAATAAAATATCTCTTTGTTTTATATGAAAAATGCTAGATATAAACCTGGTTATACTTGTATATTAGAGAATGCTGAAGATAATTGATTAATGATATATATACATATATATATATATATGAAAATTGTACTATTAAAAAAATAAAATACATCTTATTAAATATCATTATTAAATATAATTATATTTAAAGAAGATTTATAAGATTATTATAATTGCTCTAATATTAAGGACTTTGATTTGAATTTAAACTTAATTTTTTAAAATTTCTTAAAAGTCAATATAAAAATAAAGAAAGTTTGAAAATATTTGAATATTTAATTTAAAATTAATTAAACATTCATATTATTTGAATAGTGATCGTTAAATTGAATATTTTTAAATAATAATTATTTACAATTACTAAAGGATTCATCTCTAAAAGGTCTATATCTTCTAATTTTATATAAAAATATAGAATATAAGTATATTATTTGTTTAAATGAAAAAGAGTAATAAATTAACAATAATATAAATAAATAATACATAAATATTTTATATATTATAATTTTTTCTTTTTATATATATAATTCAGATAATAGTCTAACTCTAATTTTTCAATTAAAAATAGGCAGTGGATTTTGTAGTGCAAATAAATGCACAAAAAACCATGCATAAATGTGAAACAAGAATTGTGGTCATTGTAATAACTCTATTTTTCCAATAAGGAACCACAAATACTTCTGAAATAAATACTACAACCGGATAGTGAATCTGATATAAGATTCCAACTATAGCAATTAAGAATATAAATTGTTTTTATTTAACTTACTTAGATAAATTATAAATTCCAATAGCATATAAAAATGTCAATCCAATCTTTGACAACATTAATAACCATCCACCAATTCCATAAAAATTATGATATTTATCTTCACTTCCATCAAAGTACTTTATAATAATCATAATAATAGATTAATATATCACTACCATTGAAATGAATGGAAAGAATTAAACTGTATTGAGTTCTTACTTTGTAATAGTCCAACCTTATGATAATGCCACAAATAGGAATGCAAATAATAATTGAGAAGCATTATTACAAATACTACCTAATAAATCAAAGAAATAGATTCCTACTCCATTATAGGAATATACTGTATAATGCAATAGAAATAGTACTTCAGCAATGATATCAATTAAAAGTACTCTCATAACATACTTAATAAACAAATCATCCTTTCCCTTTATTATACAATAGGCTCCAATAAGGATACTGCAAATAATTTGTATTCCATATAGTTTTTAAATTCCATTATCTTCACATGAAAAGTGAGATCCATTATTTAATGAAGTAATTTCAATTTCAATTTAGTATCCTTCTACTTTTGCTAATTCTCCATCACAATCTGAGGTAGCAACAATATATATTTTATCTCTATAATACAAATTTATTTTCTTTTCTTTAAGGTTACTCCAATTACCATTTAATGGCAATTTTTCTCTTTCTTAATAAGTGCCCAATGATCTTTTATTGGTACATTTAGATTCCCTTTTTTACATAGGCCAATAATCATCAGTGAATATATGGAATCTAAAATAGACAAAATCATCTGTCTATTCATCATATGGTTTAGTTAGTCTAGCTCTAAAAGAGAATGTGCCTTTTCCTAGATCAACCCCATATTTTTATAGGAAATAAATGTTATCTCTAATATCATTCACAGGAAAAGTGACTCTGGTGAATTTGGCAACAGCAATAGTTAAATATAATAAAATAAACATATATAAATTTTTATTTGATATAATAAACTCATTTCAATATTTTTCTTAAAACATATTATAAGATTCCTCCATGCTTATAATATTCTATTTCTACATCTGTGTCCAATCTCAAAAGAGTATTAAAATTAAAAGTAGTATCATCTGATCTCTTTACAACAACTTCAACAATTTGATTAACCTAAATTAAAATTAATTAAATACTTTAATGTTATCTTTATTGACATTTAAAGTGAATAGTTCATGTCCTGTCAATCCCAAAGATTCAGCAGTCTATCCATTAGTGAATTCAAGAGGTAGAACTCCCATTCCAGCAAGATTACTTCTATGAATTCTTTCATATGATATAGCAATGACAGCCTTGACTCCTTAAAGATAAGGTCCTTTAGCTGCCCAATCTCTAGATGAACCAGATCCATATTCAGCACCTCCAATTACAATAGTTTATTGATTTGATTGTAAATACTTTTCAGCTGCATCATATATAGCCATAACTTCATTTGTAGGTACATATATTGTATTAGGACATTCTTTTCCTTATAACATTTTGTTCTTGATTCTAACATTAGCAAATGTTCCTCTAACCATAATTTCATCATTTCCTCTTCTTGCACCATATGTATTAAAGTCTTTTTAAGCAACTCCTCTTTCTTTAAGATATCTACCAGCAGGACTATTTGCTGAAATATTACCAGCTGGACTAATGTGATCTGTAGTAATGGAATCTCCAAAAACTGCTAAACAATAAGCATTTGTTACTGGATTAATAACTGGTAATTCTAAACTTAATCCTTAAAAGTATGGAGGATGATGAATATAAGTAGATAATTCATCCCATTAATAAAGTTAATCTTTTGGTACTTATAATTCATTCCAATTTTTAGTTCCTTATTTTATTTATTAATAAGTTTAAATAAACATTTATGGTTAAACAACTTAATCTTCTAATTATTTAATTTCATCTCTTGTTGGCCAAATATCTTTTAAAAATACATTTTAACCATTTACAACTCCAATAGGTTCATTTTCAAAATCAATATCTACTCTACCTGCCAAAGCAAATGCTACAACCAAAGGAGGAGAAGCCAAATAATTAGCTCTTGTAATTGGATGTACTCTTCCTTCAAAATTTCTATTTCCTGATAATACAGCAGCTACAACCAAATCATTATTTGAAACAGTTTCACTTACAGCTTAATCAATTGGTCCACTATTACCAATACATGTCATACAACCATATCCAGTATTATGGAAACCTAATTAATCCAAAAACACATCTAATCCAGCTGCCTTATAATATTATGTAACACATTAAGATCCAGGACTTAATGATGTTTTTATATATGGTCTTATTGCTAATCCAGCTTAAACTGCTTTCTTAGCCACTAAACCAGCTGCTAACATTACTCCTGGATTTGAAGTATTAGTGCATGATGTAATTGCTGCAATAACAACGGATCCATGATTCAAACTATATTTCTAACCTTAATATTAAAATTCAACATCTTAAGTAGCTTTAACATTGAATCCCTTAAAAGAAACAGGAGCTGTTAATCCTTAAGAAAACTCTTATTTCAATTAATTTAATGTAACTCTATCTTATGGTCTCTTTGGACCAGCAACACAAGGTTGAATAGTTGATAAATCTAATTCTAAAGTGTCACTAAAAGTTGTTTAACTTTCTTCATAAAATAAATGGGCTGCTTTCAAATATTAAGTTATTAAATTGCATTTCTCTTCACTTCTTCCTGTTTATTTTAAATAATCAATTGTTTTGTTATCAACTGGGAAGAAACCCATAGTTGCTCCATATTCAGGTGCCATATTAGATACAGTTGCTCTATCAGCCAAAGATAATGTTGATACTCCTGGTCCATAAAACTCTACGAATTTTCCCACAACTTTTTTATTAATATATTTATATATACCTTTTTTCTTTCTTAGCATCTCTGTGCAAGTCAAAACTAAATCTGTTGCTGAAATATGAGCACTCAATTATCCTGTTAATTTAAATCCTACTACTTAAGGAAGTACCATGCTAGTACATTCACCTAACATATTTGCTTCAGCTTCTATTCCACCTACTCCCCAACCTAAAACACCTAAACCATTAATCATTGTTGTATGAGAATCTGTTCCTACTACTGAGTCTGGATATAATAGATTATCCTTCTCAAACACAACTCTTGCTAAATATTCCAAATTCACCTAATGTACAATTCCACTTCCTGGTGGTACAATTTCAAAATTCTTAAAAGCTGAACTTCCCCATTTCAAAAATCTAAATCTCTCTAAATTTCTTTCAAATTCTGTCTATTCATTTTATTCTCTAGCATCTTTATTTCCATGAAAATCCACTTGTACAGAATGGTCAATCACTAAATCTACAGGACACAAAGGATTAATTAATTGAGGATCTTTACCCATAACTTGAGCTTATGATCTCATTGCTGCCAAGTCAACTACTAAAGGAACACCTAAGAAAATATATGAAATTAATCACCTGTAAAATCTTATAATATTACTCTTGCAGGTTTGAAGGCCACTTCTTTGTCTAATTTAGATGTTTCTTCCCAATTTAATATTCTTTCAACATCTTCCTTTTAAACATTAAATCCATCACAATTTCTGACTGCTTACTCTAATAATATTCTTATTGAGTATGGCAATCTTGTTACTTTCTCACCAAATAATTCAACCAAATTGTAATATTTGAATGTTTGTTCTTATATTTTGAGCTCTGAAGTAGGATATGGATTATTTTGCATTAATATTATTTAAGGTTATCAATTAAAATTTCTATATTTATATAAAGATTCTTCATCTCTTATTATTAATTAATAATGTTATTATTAATTATCAATACAATTTTTATTATCAATAAGCATTTTCACACTCTAAATATAATAAATTTGTTAATTTAGTTAATTTATATCAATAATATATCAATCATTATTCAAAGATGAGATCAGATTTTTTTTCATACTTTTATCAACAATTATCCAAAAGTAATGTTTTTTTTGTGTTTCTTCCCTCCTGCATTAATGATCTTTCTTGTAAGTTTCCTTTTTGCATTACTATTTTTTATCGACTATATAGATGGAGATATTATAGAAAGAGGCAAATGAGGTATCATGTTTGAAAATGTAAATTGACTAACTGGATTAATATCTAAAGGGAGCAGCTTATGAACAGGTCTTTTCCTTTTTTCATCTAAGAGTTTAATGGAAGATATTGGGGAATAGCCAATAATACAATTATTCATAGGGGACAAATTATCATTTATAGCTCTTTAACTGTACTCTATTGAAACGTAATTATATTAAATTACCAGTAGTCAAAATTTCCTTGATTCTACTTTTTCCTAATTATTATTTGTCTATTAGACTTTAAAGACTGCGCCTGTTAAATTTTAAAATATTTTTATAAGCTGGTTTTTTTTGATTATTTGATAACTGCTTTTAATTATGTAGATTATCATTGTCAATTTACTCTTCTTCCTCATCCTCTTCTTAATTTAAAGTAAAAAGTTTAGTTTATTAGTCTTTGCCTTATTCATCTGTATACTTATCTTCATCTTCAAATTTATATAATCTTATATTAACTTAAAAATCATCAAGAGAACCTTATTATTTAATGACTTTAGTTCTTCCATCTTGTATCATTTCCAACTTCAAAATGGTTTAAGAATCAAAGGGTGCTGTAATTGGTAAATAAAATGTTTTCAATCTTTAAGAAAAGGTTTATAACTTTGTAGTCCTCTTATCTATATAAAGTTTAGGAGGTGAGAGTGAATTGTACCTATGTAATTAGATGGAATGCCTTGAATTTTCTTTTGAAGGATTTGAATTAGTATCATTAGAACAAAGATTAGGTTGAGTAGGTGAACTAGCCTAATGATTGTAAAATACAGTATTATGATGCCTATTAGTTCTTTTTTTGGGTTGTTAATCTTATTTTTACATGATTTCTAATATGGTTTTTTTTTAAATCAAATGTCTTTTATTTCTCATTATGATTTATTTTCTTTATTGTATTTTGATGTTTTAGTTCTTAAGTTTGGAAATAATATTTTAGTAGGGTTGAAAAGTGGGTAAAATAATGGTAACATAGATCATTTTTTTATTAGCATATCCAAATTCCTTAGATTAACATGATCTTGTTTTATTTAAAGTGAGTGGAGTATTGAATATGAGTGAATTTGTTGAGTTCTTGAAAGAGCAAGCTTGGAATCGATTACGCATATTAATAATTAATAAATTAAATTGGGGCACCTTTTTTGTAATTTATATTTATATATTAGATATATATATACAAAGTTACAGTAATTGTGGGACGATGATTAAATTTAAAAATATTTATTTAAAAAATGAGTTTAGCATTTGATGACTATGGCAGACCATACATTATTTTAAGGGATCAAGGATAAAAGAAAAGAATGAAGGGTTTGGAGGCATATAAAAGCAATATTTTGGCTGCCAAGGCTGTTGCAAATACATTGTCATCATCTCTTGGACCAAAGGGAATGGACAAGATGTTAGTATCTCCAGATGGAGATGTTTCAGTAACAAATGATGGTGCAACAATAGTGGAGAAGATGGTATGAAAATATTTAAAATAAATTATAGGAAATATAGCATCCAACAGCAAAATTATTAGTGGAGTTGTCTTAATCACAAGATGCTGAAATAGGTGATGGTACAACAGGAGTAGTAGTGTTGGCTGGAAAATTATTAGAGTAGGCACTTACTTTATTAGACAAAGGAATCCATCCATTAAAGATTAGTGATGGATTTGATAGAGCATGTGATGTTGCTATAAGTATAGATTTATATCCTAATAATCTAGAACATTTGGAAACCATATCTGAAGAAATAGATATTCAAGCCAATGAACATGAAGCTTTGATCTAAGCAGCTTGTACAGCTCTTGGTTCAAAAGTTGTATCTAAAAGAAAGAGAGAACTTGGTAAGATTGCAGTCACTGCAGTTTTGGATGTTGCTGATTTAGCTAGAAGAGATGTCAATTTGGATTTGATTAAAATTCAAACTAAAACTGGAGGAAGTGTAGAAGACACAAGATTAATTTCAGGAATTCTTATTGATAAAGATATGAGTCATCCTTAAATGCCCAAAGAGGTAAAAGATGCAAAAATTTGTTTATTAACATGCCCATTTGAACCACCTAAACCTAAAACTAAGCACAATATTAATATTTCTAGTGCAGATGATTATAAGAAATTATATTTATAGGAATAATAATACTTTGTTGATATGGTCAAACTAGTCAAAAATAGCGGTGCTAACATTGCATTATGTTAATGGGGTTTTGATGATGAAGCCAATCATTTATTATTATAAAATGAATTACCTGCTGTCAGATGGGTATCAGGTACAGATGTTGAACTTATTGCTATGGCTACTGGAGCTAGAATCATTCCAAGATTTTAAGAAATTACACCTGAAAAATTAGGAAAAGCTGGTTGTGTCAAAGAAGTATAATTCGGAACTTCAAATGAAAGAATGTTAGTAATTGAAAATTGTCAATGCACAAAGGCTGTTACTATTTTGATCAGAGGAGGAAGTCAAATGATTGTTGATGAAGCCAAAAGATCAATTCATGATGCAATCTGTGTTATTAGAAACTTAATTAAAGACAATAGAATTGTCTATGGAGGAGGTTCAGCTGAATTAGCTTGTGCTATCTAAGTTCTGTAATATGCTGATGAAGTATTTAATCTATATATTTTAGGTTTCATCAGTAGAATAATATGCCATTAGATCATTTGCAGATGCCTTAGAGGGTATCCCTTGTTGTTTAGCAGATAATTGTGGTCTTAACCCAATTACATCAGTTGCTCAAGCTAAGGCATTGTAATTAAAAGAAAACAATCCAAGAATTGGAATTGATTGCATGGAATTAGTATTTACTATTATTAATATTTAAGGGTACCATTGATATGAAAGAATAAAAAATATATGAAACTTTGAGTTCAAAGAAATAGTAAATCTAATTAGCCACATAAGTTGTCAAGATGATATTGAAAATAGATGATGTTATTGCACCTGACGATTATTGAGTATTAAATGATATTATGTTCAAATATTATATAAAATATATGTTCTTATTTATCTAATTTTTCAAAGGGGTTTAAAGATCAAGGCCACAGCAATATCTTTGGCTTCAATTTTATTTTCTTTTGGATTGATTGGATTATTAATTATATAAATAGCATCTTTTTCATTATATCCAATTAAAACACCATAGTTTTTCCCATAATTTATATTCAATACAATCTAGTAGTTTTTATCATAATATTCTAGATTTAACTTCGATAGTACCTATAGCTGTCTTTAAATCTGATACTGTTTTCACCAAATGTAAGCCAACTTTGTCCAAAACTGAAAAATTAATTTCACTTCCTTATTTATATCCATTGTTATTAGTCAAATATTTATTTAATATTGCTGGATTTACAGCTCTATTATTAATTATCTTAGCACTTGTTTGCATTATCATAGCTATACAACTTACTAAGCTACCATTTTAACAAAGAGTCTTTTCTGGATCTCCATTCAATATTTCTTTATGCCATTTTTGATCACAGTTCTAATAAGCTGTAATAGATCTTATTGGAGATCCCCATCCACAGGTTGAAAGTAAAAAGATAATAATTATTGTGTTTTTAAAAGAACCCATCTTAATAATTTTTAATAAATTAAAATATATAATAAATTGCCCAATAAAATTCTTTAAATTTTCAGTATTTCAGTATTTTTCATTTACTCCAATCATTCTAGCATGACGTTCAAATTGATCATCTAGTAATAACACAGTTCTTGGAACAATTAATACAAATCTTCTCACTTACATCAGTTCCTTTATCATTACTAATGGTAATATTAAAGAAAAATATATTATTAGTAAGATATTCAAGATAATGTAACATACTGATAGTGCCTATATTAAATTGAAATATTTTACATTTGAAATATTGATTTATTCTTAAGTTATTGTCACCATTCCATTCTTGAAAACCTTACTCATATGTTAAAATGCCCTCATTACAATTAATCCTCCCTCCATTTCTAAAAATGTATATTCAACTCTTTATGTAAAATTGTTAATTGATTGTTCTTGTTAAATCTCATTAAATATATATTTAATTGTTGGCAACAACCCTAATTTTAAATTTCCATTAAAAGAAACATTACAATAATAACTCAGAAACCCAACTTATTCATCTCCTAAAATATCACATACATTTTATGATTGAACATTATTAAAATATTCTGAAAATCCCTCTGATGAATAATATAAATCCGGATTAAAATTTAAACACAATTTAAGAAACTCTTAAATATCATTTAAACTATCTCTTATTGTTTCATAAAATAATACATTATCTTCATCTCTTATATATGGAAATGTTGGAAAAGCTAATTTAAATTCTTTATTTCTGGGTAATGATCCTGTAGTTAATGACATGTTTTACAGAAATTTATAAAGATCACATGAATTAGGGTATTTGTCCAAATATTATTAGACTTGTTAATTACTAAAAAAACTGAATAAAAAAAATAATATCCAAACTCCTAAAAGAATGATAACTGAAAAGGTAATAGGTAATTGTTTAAATTAGGGTAAGTATTTTGATTCCTTATACTTTTGTTATTCTTTTTCGATTACTCCTTTTTCATATATAATTTACTCTTCAAATTATTCTACTTCAAACTTATAATGATAAAGGCGTTCAGGATTCTATTTTAATTATTTAATTAAATTCTTTGTTTTATCTATCTCCCTTTAAACTTTGATATTTGAAAAGTATCTAAATAAATTCAAATATTTATCTTAAAGCTATCTATAAAGTTTTGCATAATAAATAGCTAAAGCAATAGGTAGAAAACTAAAAATTAAAAAAATCATCCAAATTTCATTCCATTTATCTTTTATTACAATGCTTCTTTATTTTGAATAATCCCATGCTTCTTAAGCTAATATCTCAAGAAGATTATGTAGTTTAAAAGCATTTGCAAATTAAAATACTTAATAAGTCTAATTAGCTGGACTTAATCTTGCTTGAAATCTTAAAAGAAATTCATAGTAATAAGTTAGAAATGTGAAGAATACTTCTCTGACATTATAAGTCACTGGGTAAGTATTTAAACCAAACTCATACATGTAGTATACTGTTACATTCTTATCATTATAAAAAGGTTAAAGATATTAATTATTTAATTATTCAGTGAATCCATTCTTAAATTCATAATAACCAATATGCATATTATTATATAAAAGATCAGTTAAATTATTGAATCTGTCTTTTGTGATTATTTTTTTATTTGCGAATCCTGTATAAGTAAATATTGTAAATCTCATTTGAAAATAAAAATCATGAGGTACCATGACACCTGAATGCAATTGTATCATATCTATTTCAGCTATAAATCTAGTTAAATCTTATGAAACTAAAGCAAGTACAATAATATAAAATATAAGACTGATCAATAAACTAATAAGAATAAGAAACAATAATTTATTCATTGATGCAGGTACTTATTAAAATAATGAATCATGAATTAATTCATATTTTTTATAAAACATTGATCTCTAAATTCCAGTTTATTTTGATGTGAGAGATGTATTTTTCTTAAATTATTATTCATAAAAATCTTCTTTTTATTCAATAGGAAGAATGTTTTGATGTTATATTTATTGAATTGATTTTTGCATACTGTATGAATTATCACGTACACTTTAATTAAAATAATCTTATTATTATAATTAAGGTTATTTTGAGTAAGATATCTCATTTAGCCCAATTTAACTAGAATTAGGACTTAAGATATTTGGTTCAAAATCTGATTAAGGAATATGTTAAATATAAACTGCAGGTATTTTAGATGATAAAATTATTTCTTCTTATTATATTTAATCTATTAAATTGAATTTATTTGATTTTTTTTTAAATTCTTTTGCATCAAGAGCCTATGCTTCAGATTCTGTAAGTTAACTCAATTAAAACATATTCTCTATATCATTTTATGATCTAGTAATTTATAAAGATATCATATTTTCTTAATAATAAGGTTTACAATCTCTTAATTCAATTATATAATAATTAAAGTCCCATATATTTTAAAATTGTATGTTAAGATCAACCTGGAATGAATTAAGATTTTTACTATCATTCCAAAGGCCCAATATGGTAAATTTATGATCAGTTTACTGTAAATATTATAAAAATACATCCTATTTTAAAAATCTTAATTCAGTTTTAATATTATTTTTGCGTTGTTTAATAATAGTCGAGAATTCAGGGAATATGAGTTCAATATTTAATATTTTAAAATTAAAATCGCTTATTTCATTTATGAATGTACTTGTATATTTTAATTTTTCAAAAACAGTTTCTGTAAATCCACCTAATTATTCATTGACATCAACAAATATATAAGATTAAGTAGTGGAAGTATTCTATAAAAAAATAGAATATCTAAATAAATAATTTTCATCAAAATGCATATCAAATAATAAATCACAACATTTAATAAAATTATTTGTTGATTTATAAAAGGAGGGAGAATAAGATAAATAAAATTTAGCTTATCCTGTTTAAATAAAGTTATTTACTAATATATTATGCTCATTTACTATAAAATCTGGTAATATACAACTAATAGATGTAAATTATTTTTATTGTTCATTACTAAATTCAAAAAATTTTTATGTATTTTCAGAACAATTTAGGACTAATAACTCTCCTTAATCTTCCAATTAAGCTGCATTAATATATATAACATCCTTAGAGAATAAAGATACTTAAAGATTTTATTCAATATCAATTAGTTATTATTCAGATATTGATGTTAAGTTCTTTATTCGATAAGCTTCTATAAAATTATTTTATAATTCTGCCTAGAAATAAATTAATGTAGATTATATTTTATGACTTGGATATTAATCATATCTTTTATTTAATTTTTATTCAATATTATACATTTAACCACTTAATTTTTTAGCAGAATCAAATAACTTTTGATGATTTAATATCTTTTTATTTACAAATTAAGAATAAAATATAATCTTTTCTTATAATAATTGAAGTATTGCTTATCTTAAATTATTATTTCTTTTCTCATTTTTCAAAAACATTTCAACTCCTAGTTATATTTCTATAAATTTATATTTTTTGTTATTAATCATTTAAAGTTAAGATTTAATATCCGAACGAATCAATTATTTTAAGAAATTCATTTGAGCTTGAGTTATCATTGGAATTTTCTCTTTAATAGATATTAAAAGTTTATTCTTTTTTAATACTTTCTTTTAAATAATATTATTTAAATCTTCCGAATTTGATTTACCTGATTTACTCATAGATCTATTAGATTCTTTTGCCTAATTGTTAAATGTTTATAATCTAGACAATTCACTCTCCTTTTAATAAAAATCTGAACTCTAGTTTAACTTTTTAGTTTAATTTTAACTATTAGCAATCATAATTTATTTATATGCCAAATTATAGAATTTCAATTAAAAAAGGATTGATACATATTGAATATCAAAATTCTTATCATTCTAAATTAATTTACTTAAAATTGACAATTATTTATTATAAAACTTTAACTCAACTTCAGAATTTAAAGTTTCAAATAAATTTTCATATGTATTTCCTTCATTATATTTCATATATCCATAATGTTAATAAATTAAAGCATTTATTAAATATTATTAAGTCTTATTCAGTTATTAATTTATCATTTTCCCAAATAAATATTTTAAAAATGACTTCTTACTAATTTTGATATATTTTATAAGTTGATTCATTTCAAAGGATTTAAATTCTTGATCTATAATCTAATAGAATAATAAAAATAAAATTAATGTCAGAACATTAACAAAAATTTCATAGTCATCTAAAAGGTAAAGAATCAAAGTATTAAATCCTAATAATAATCCAAAACAAGAAAATAAGAGGATAATATTTTACTCAAAAGACTTGCAAGTGTGTAATTCAAAAACTCTCAAGATTTTTATAGAGGAAATTAAAATTATTAAGATAGATTAAATTATCAAGGCATTTTTCATATTGTATATTAAGGAGTAACTAATAAATTAAATTATAAACAGTAATTAAAGTACATAATCTAAAAATGACACATAAATTTATGTAAATGAAGTCAATTTAAAGTCAAAACTTTTAAGGCATATTACCTATAAAATTATTTATAAACAAACAATTAAAATAAATGTTAAAATAGCAAAAAATACCTGAAGAATTTAATCCGATAATTCTTTATTAAGTGTAACATGACTAATACTATTTACTATAAGGATTGTTAAAGGTATATATAAATATTGTTAAAATATTTATGTAATTAAAGATGAAATGTTTATTAATGTATGTAATAAAGAGCTCTAGTAAAATACTTGTTTCTTTTTTATAAAAGTCACTATTATAAATGGGAAAATTATGAATACTAATAATAAACTTAAACTTAATAAATATTGCGACTCTTGTAAATCAAATTAAGCACAAAATGCAATATCAAATCTTGAGAGATAGGTAATAAAATATTAGTAATTAAATTATTAATACAACAGCTTTTATTTGTCTTTAAATTAGGGTAATTATAAGTAGGTAATGTATTAATACGTACCGAGTGAAAATAGGAGATATTGTAAATATTTTGGTACCTAATAAAACTAATGGATAAACAATAGATTTTCAAATAATTGCAGTTTCAGTTATTTTCTAGTGCTATGAGAATTTTCCATATATTTTTTGCAGTCCTCTAAATTTAATATGTTTTTATTAATTGAAATAAAAAGACTTTTTCTAATATTGTTTAAGTTTTCATTGATATTATTTATCAGATAAATTAGAAAGACATAAAGAATACAACAATTTCGTATCATGAATGTGAAAATTTATGATTATTTCTAATTATTTTGATTGATGGCAAACGTGGATATGAAAAAATCATTTACATTTAATTTTATTTTTATATTAAAAAAAAGTGATTTAGAGCTAAAATCAATCTAGATATTCTCATATAATTTCTTGCAAGGTTTATCTAATTTTAGATTGTATGATGTCATCAATATTTCTAATATTAGATGATATCAATTTTGCCTTTTCTACAGTTTTATTTTATAAGAATGTATTAAGCATTTAGTAATTATTAATTTCTAAGTTATTATTAAGATGTTAATATAGTTTTTAACAAATAAATATTTATTATTTTTTTATTATTATTTATTTAAAAGCATTAATGGCATTATCAATTATTTTCTTTCTTTAATTAGTATTTTAATTAAACAGAGTTAGTTTCAATTATTAAGATAATCAAAGATGTGTAATCTCTATTCTGTGTTTTATTACATTAAGAATCTTATATCATTTAGTTCTGTCATAAATTAAATGTTTTTTTTAATCTAATTATTATTTTTGCTTCATCTAAAAATAAAATTAATAATTATATATATTTATATGATTATATATTTTCAATATTATTATTGCTATTATAATTATGTTTAAGCCTCTTATTACAATTCATCATGATCATTATAACTGGATTCTTATTGAACACCACCTTATTATTCTTGATCATCCTCTCTGATATTAACACTATTATTTTATGGATTAGAACGAATCGTCTATCCCATTACTTATTATTGTTATTAATGCTAAACAGTTTTTTCTGTCTTCTTTTTATTACTCTATTTGTATGTTGCTTCAACTTCTACTAATTTTCTTTTATTTTGATTTCTACTTTGTAATTCTTTCTATTATCTCTTATTAGAATCTTTTGCTCTTTATTAGTTTATCTATTCTTAAGCATTTCCCAATACATTCTTTAAATTTCCAATCTAAAATTGTCTAATGTAGTTTTACTAATTAATGATCTTATGGTAGGTGTAACTCACCAAATCTGACTGCTTTTTAGTATGTTTAAATGGCTTCATCAAATCTCTTCAAATATTCAAATTCAACACCTAAATTATGATAAGCTATTGCTAACACAGCAACTCTATCTTTCATCTTTTATTCAACTGATTTTTAATCTTAATTTTAACTTTGTTCCATTTTTTAATCTGGTGGTTTCATTAAAAATTCATCTTATAGTAATACTACTGATATTAAAGCATGTTCCAATGCTTCAGCGTGCTATTATATAATATTCCTTACTCTATTTAATTAGGATAACACAGCACACATATTTAAATGAGTATCAGCCAAAGATGGTGCTGTTTCCTGTCTAATTTCTATTTCTAATGCTTATTACAAATATTATAAAGCACTCCTTAATTTCCCATTCCTTCTGTAAAAACAAGCTAAATTATTGTAAGTAATTGCTCTAATAAAAAATGAATAAATATTAACACATCAATACTTATATCTAGTACTAGATTATGCTAACAAGTCTGCCTTTTTTAAAAATTCTAATGATGCATCAAATTTTTCTTTTTATAAGAAAATCATAGCGATTAAGTTACATAATTCACACAATTTATCACTTGTTTTGAAATATTCTTCAGAATCCTCACCATAAGCTGACTTTTTTATCATTAGCATTTCCTCAAAAACATTCAATGCTTCTAAATATTTATTTTATTATTAGAATTGTTAGGCTTGCTGATCTAATTATAAAAGTCTTTCTCTTATGCTATCCATATTATAATAAAAATTATAAATAAATAATTTAGTCAAAATTATTTTGCAAAAAACTATCATTTATATATATATATAATTATTATAGCTATACAATACAGTTTACCTATTATTAATTTAATTATTTAATAATTATAACTTGACATAAACCTCCATTATTTTTTTAGTATAAGATATTCACAAATAAAATAACTACACAATTAGAAACAAAGTTTATGATCCAAAAAAAATTTTTATATGTTCCTTTTAATTAAATGATTTATATTAAAACACAGTTGCAGAATAAAAATACAAAAAATATTATTGAATCTAAATTCAAACAATTTTACACATACTGTTTAATTTCTGTTTCATTGTTGTAAAAATAAAAAGGTACAAAGTTATAAATTTGAATAAAACTTATTCTTAAATTCATATCTCACTTATGAGATATGAAATTTTCAATATTTTATTTTTGTGTTTTTCTCAATTGTCCAAATTTATGTTTAACTATATAACCATAACTGCTTTTAAAGAATAATTCTTGATATTTAAGTTAAATCATTTTCAAATACATTTTTAATAATTTGTTACATGGTTTACAATAGATCCAGATAAGTTTTAGAATTTGATCATCTTTTTCAACTTTCATCATTATATTTATGCAAGTAATTTTGAGTTTTAAGAACAGATTAAAAATATTGTTACTGATAATAATAGTATTTCCTATCTCATTTTTAAAATTCTTCTCATTAATAGGTCTATCAAATTTAAATTTAAAAAAAAAACTAAAAATAAATTCAATAATAAATGATCAAAGTCGATATCATAATTATTTAAATACTTAATATGTATAATTCTATAATATAATTTATTTTATAGAATCATTTCAACTCTTAGGCTAATGCTAACTATTTTAGAAACCTTTCAAATGATTCATCTCCTAATACAATTTATTGTGGAATTAAATATACTATCCTTCTTAACATAGCATATTCTTTTACTAATAGATTTTTGATTATAAATACAACGACCATTAAGAAAATAATCAAATAAGAAATGAATATAATTGTTATTATGAGAGTGAATTCATTTTATTATGTTGTGATTTATTTCAAACCAATTTAAAATTCATCAGAAACTCTAAAAAATGATCTAATTACAATTTATGATCCTTCCATTTCATAAAGATTAACTTCAACTCTTTTAGTAAAATTATTAACAGCTTATTAATTTTTAATTTAATTTGACATAAAATTAAGAACTGAAATTGAACCTGATTTTAATAATCCATCAAATGATTTTTCACAATATAATGACATAAATTCTATATAAATCTATAAATATTAAAATATAATATATACTTAATCTATAAATTCACATAAATCATGAGTTTATTAATATTCAAAAAAAGAAATGAATTCATCAGATAATAAATACTTATTTGATTAAAATGAACTTGTAAAATCTAAATATTCCTATATATTCATTTATGCTTTATCTATTAATTAATATGCTCTCTCTAAATCATAAGCTGTTAAATATGTTAAACTTTTCCATCGTAATAAATGTTCTCTATACATATACATTGATCCACTTCTGAATTTTAAATTTTAAATCATAAAGTAAAAATCTGCTGTATCATCATATTTACTTATGTATTCATTTGTTTTTATTAAAATAACTATTATATAAACTTAAAATATGCAGGCTACTAATATCCAAAACACAAAAATATTTCTTCTTGTAATTTTAATTTATGAATTGCTTTAAACATTTTTATTAGTATTAGAAGTTTTATTTGAAGCAATATAACTTTTCATCATTTATTCTTTGTGTTAAAGATCAAATTAATATGAATATATAGATTCTTAATTTGTAGTTATTAATTTATATAATTAATTCAGTTTATCTATTTCTAAAGATATTTTTTATTTATCCATAAAATTTAATAACTATAAAAATCTATCATATAATTTATAATATTGATGAAGTTCAATCATTAAAAAAATTGTATTTATAATTACAATGAAAGCAAAAAGTAAACAAATTATATACCATTTTTTTCCTACATTTTAGCTTCTATTTTTAGAATATTATAAAATATCATTTGTAATACTTTCCAGTTTATCCTATATATTGTAATAATTTGAAAAAAGAAATACCTAATATGGTTATCCTGCAGTGCTCTATCTCTTTTAAAATTGTCTCATTTATGCAAATTAATATTATAGTATGATCATTAGACATTCTCTAAATGAGATATGTTCCATTGAATAATTTTCTGTGTCGTTATTTCTCATAAATAGTAATGTCATTTCTTCTTCATCTAAAAACATTTTCAAATAATCATTTTCTAGTTATTGATACAAACTATCCCTCAATTCATAATATCCATATCTTAATTATTCTTCATATGGTGCTGTCAAGTTTGGCACTATAGAATTCGGAATGTAGCCTTCACTTCCCAATTATTAATATGTAGAGATTGTATTTCGCATTGAAAAAAATAAGTCATGAGGTCCTTAAATGCTTGCATGTAAAGCTATAATCTCAATATCTGAAATAAATTGAAGAATATCATTATGAAGTATAGAGATAACTAATGAGAGACAGATAGTTTATATTATAATAAAGATTATAATTGTACTTATCGCTAATTTTAAAATTTAAGGAGTTTTCTCTTTCGTTAATTTACCTAATAATTCATATTTCTTTATTACTTCACTGTTACCTATTCCAAATTCAGTGCTTTTTAATGAGCCTCTATATAATTTATCTATTAGTTGATTTCCTTTAATATTTTATTCATTATCGTCATCGCTTTAATTTAATTGATTTGGTTATTAATTTGTATTTACATTATAATAATATTACTGTGAAGTTTATGAAATAAATCTATATTTTTAGTTATAAATCAATTAACTGGTACTTTTATTTGGTGAAAGGATGAGTAATTAATCCACTTTTTATTCTACATCCTCTTATTAGTCTTGATGATATAAGTTAATATTATTATTTTTAATTTAACTTTTTTCTAAATATCCTTCTCTACTTTAGATTGAAATTTAATTTATTGTTCCCGGTTAGGCTTCTTCTAAAGACATATTCAGATGGCTTATTTAAAAATTTGGTATTTATTCTGATTTTCTCCGATCTTCGCTAAATCTTTCCTAAGTTCTACTGCTGTTATAATATTCTGCTCTTTAAAATGATGAATCTAATTGTATAATGTAGTAATAATATCCATAAATTTAATAGGCCTAAATAGTAATGTTTGATAGGTAAAATTTTGTATAAATTTTTTTTCCCAAAAGTCTATTTAAAACAAAAGATTACTACTACAAAGTAGTGTTGCTTTCATTAGAAAATTCATTAAGTAAGACATCTAAGTCTATGAAATAAGTTTCTATATTATTAAATTTCATTAGAGGTTATTAATCTTCATTTTATAAGAAATCATTAAAATTTGGAAAAATCTAAGATATTTTTAATTAATAAAATATTGAAAAGTCATTAATTCTATCAATTAATTAAGAATTGAATCCTAACAATGAGAAAAAAGCATTAGTTATTCCCCCTACTACTTAATTTACATCAACCAAAATAAAAGCTTATTGAATGACAATTTCCTATAGTAATCCAACTAAGATAATTTTATCTTATTTTTATTGAATAATATTATCGAAACTAAACACAACTGCTTTAGCCATATTTTTTTTTGTTTTTATAAATGTTTAACTAAACTACTTAAAATATTTTGATTATCCAATTTTAAAAAACTTTGAAATAAAAAGGGGATGCTCCCTTAAAATAAATGGTAACAATAATTTTTCAAAATTTAATTCTTCATTTTAATTAAAGTCAATTATCTAGAGTAAACTTGAAGAATATTTTTTCAATTCTACATTTTAAAGGTCATCATCTATTTAAAAAATAATATAGCTTATATCATTTGAATTAAAATTAACATTTAGGTCTTTATTAATAATTTATATTTATTCTTGGGATAGACTAGATTAATTGTGTATTTTAAATGCTTCTAAATAGTTTTACAAAATTTCAGCTTCATAAAAAATTTAAAGAGATTATAATCTTTTGCTTTTGGTAATTTCATACTCGGCATCCAATTCATTTTTAAATAACATCATTTTTTAGGTCATTTCCATCAATGACTTCATTAAATCAGAAATTCTCCTTTCTTTTATTTACAGAACTAAATTTTCATAATATTTTAATTTGATTTTTAAGATTTTCTTAATCTCTTTTACATATTAATCTAACTTCATTTCTTGCTATATCAATATTTGTATTTATTCAGATAGATTGTGCATTTCTTCAGTTATCTATGAATTGCCAAACATATATCTCAAATTTTACTTAATCTCATGTTAAAGGTAAGATATTTTTGATAATTAAATGAACTCTAATTTAATCCAATAAGAAATTGATTACTGTTATGTTTTTATTTTATTACTCTTTTGTATTGTATCAAGATACTTTCCAGGATCTATTTGAGTTTATGATGATGAATCATGTCTTAAAGTTGCTGAAAAAGAATATGGGTATGATAGACTTTAATTTAGACTTTTAATAGAACTCTTTGAATTCAATTTTCCGTAAACTAATTAATTAAAATGTTTTATCGATTAAATTGGCCATCCATAGTTGGCTAATAATACTCCATATAAGATAGTATAATATTATATTTCATTTAGGTTACCAATATTTTAATTAAAAATTAATCTTCTCATCTGTTTTAATTTTTAATGAATAAAGTCCTTATCAATTTCTTAAGTTAGTGAAGCTGCATCCCTTGAGTCTATATAAGTTATTTATTTATTGCAAATACATTTTACATCCCTACACTTTTTTTTATGATAATTATTAATGTAAAGTTTGTACATTAAAGGTTGAAAATGATTATTTTACTTTTTGACTAAAATTTGACTAATGGCAAATATGCTAATTTTTTATATTGAAAATGCTAAATGATCCAATTTAATATTAATATAACTATCAAGTTTCAAAAATATTTTAAGTAATAAAGGAAATGAGAAAATTGTATAAATAAATACTTGAAATTATTATGTTGAAATAATAGTTTAGATAAGTGAATAAAATACATAGAGTATATTAAATGAATCAGAAAAGTAAATAATAAATTTTTTGTTATTATCTATAATAGTTTGATTTTCTTATAAATTTAGTGTATTCAATGAAGAACTCAATAAAACAAGTAAATGTATTATCCAAGAAACAATTTAAGAATTTTTAACAACTGAAAATAAAATAATGATAATTAAGTTTAAAAATTAAATTATGTATTCTTTAATTGTTATTCTTAATCTATCAAAACATATAATCTTACCATCTATTGATTATTCACTTATTTATAAATGATAAATTCCTTCTAATTATAATATTACAAAACATAAAATCCCAAATAATAAATGAATATAATTAAGATTGTTTACTTAAAATTAATTTAATTAATAAGTTAAGAATAAACAACTCAATGTTGTAAATAGGATATGAAATAAAGTATAGTATAATTAAATATACACCCCGAGGACTTTATTTAAGTAAATATATCTCGTTTCTTTTTTCTGGTATATTATTAATAAAGCAATAAAGAGCTTTTCTAAAATTGTTATGACTAAAATCATATATACAGCAAATTTTTTGACAACTTCAAAAGCCTAGAAAAATATGTCAATTCGAAATATTAAAAGTAAGACTTTGTTTAATAATTATACATTTTTTGCATCCTGCCATTTGTAATCAAGGTAAAATAAAAAGAAAGTCAACTAAAATTTGCAAATAAAGAGGATTATCAATTAAACTGTCAAATTCAATGTCATGCTTTTTTTAAAGTGCAATGTAATCTATATCATTTTTTTAAATATATCTGCCATACTTGTTTATTTCCTCTTTGATATTTAATATTCTTTTTTCATCCTTATTTTGATTATTGTTATAAAATATATTGATAATTTGACATTTAATTTAAAGAAAAACGATTATTTATTATTAAATATATATTATAAATATGGTCCCAATTCATCAAATAGTAAGTTACAGAAATAAACAATTATTTCTTCTGACTACTTCAATGTATTTTTAGATTCATTTATAATTATTCAATAATTACTGTTTTGTAAAAAGTAGAAATATTTAATTATATAATCTCAAATTATATTTTATAAAAAATTCTGACATTTGAACTTTTCTTTGATAT